GGGATGACAGGAGTAAGCCACTTCTCTGAAAAGAGCATGGCCACACGTCTTAGGTTCACAAAGTTGCATCTGGACAAACCACAAGACTTCTGGAACAACATTCTTTGGACAGATAAGACCAAAGTGGAGATGTTTAGCCATAATGCACAGCACCACTGTGACAGAACCTTAGCCAATCCACGTGGTAACAGAGGAAACAAGGCTGGGTGGGGGTGCAGGTGGTCAGACTATCTGGGAGAACCTGAAAGAGGAGAGCTAGAATGCAAGGAGAAGTTAGAATGTTACTGAAGACGGAGGTTATGTTTGGGAGTTGGGCTGTAACTGAAGAAAAGTTGATGCTGAAATCTGTTTCCCTACAAGTTGTTACTTTGTAATAAAGAGAATATCAATTTTTTTCCATTCTTTAACCACTTGGTCCAGTATGGTTAATGGCTAGAGTCCATCATTTTAAAGGAAGGTTATTTTAAAAAAGTGGCAGGCCTGGGTAGGGACTGATCAAAGCCACGTTTGGCAAAAACCAAACACAGTGTATCAGCAAAAACACCTCATCCCAACTGTCAAGCACAGTGGTGGAGGAGTGATGACTTGGGCATGTTATGCAGCCACCGGACCTGGGCACCTTGCCGTCATGGAGCCTACCAAACTCCTCTGTATAGCACTGTATTCTAGAGTCAAATGTGAGGCCATCTGTCCAACAGCTAAAGCTTGGCCACAGCTGGGTCATGCAGCAGGACAATGATCCCAAACACACCACCAATTCTACAACAGAATGGCTGAAATAGAAAAGAATCTAGGTGTTGCAATGGCCCAGTCAAAGTCCATACCTCAAACTGATTGAAATGCTGTGGCAGGACCTTCAGAGAGCTGTGCATAAGCAAATCTCCACAAAGCTCAATGAACTGAATCAAAGTTGTAAAGAAGAGTAAGTCAACAATGTGGAAGACTAATAATGTCATACAGAAAACGATTACTTATTGCTGCTAAAGGTGGTTAAGCAAGCTATTGAATCATAAGGTGCACTTAGTTTTTTACACATGGCTTCTCCATTTTGGCTTTATTTTTCTTAAATAAATAATGATATGGTGTAATATGCCATATGCTGTTGCTCATCTGAGGTTGTATTTACCTAATTTTCATACCTACTAAGGACCAGATGATTTTTATTATGTCCTGATATGTAAAACCATAGAATTCAAAGAGGGTGTATTTTCTTTTTCACAAGATTGTACCTTTACCAATTGGGAGAGAGTGCTTGTGTGGATGACGTGTTCATTTTATACACAGTCCCCCCCCTCCGCACTTCTTTGCAATTTGAAATGGTACAGCCCAGATGCAGACTCTACACACACATACAAATCCATGAGTATAAGGCCCAGGACAAGCAGGGACGGAACAAGCGTTGACTACATACACCAATGGCTGGACACATATCATATCATTATTTATTTTGTATAGCCATCCCCAGTCAATTATGATTATGAATTCCAGATGAAGAAAAGCCAAACTACGCATATATCCATATATACCTCTATGTCAATCTTGACCCAGCGCTTACCATGGTGTCCCAGGTAGCGTCTGTGGTCCGCACCGCCCATCTACATCTTCAGAGTATTGCACAGCTGCACTCCTATCATGATGTTGGGGCGCTCACCAATCTGGTCCATGCACTTGTAGTCTCAAGATTAGACTACTGTAATGCACTCTACGTGGGGCTGCCCTTGAGATTGATGCGGAAACTACAAATGGTCCAGAACACAGCTGCCAGACTATTAACCAGGGTGAAAAAATATAATCCCATTTCCCCCACTCTAGCAGCCTTACACTGGTTGCCCATTCGTTTCCACATTGACTTCAAGGTATTAATGCTTACATATAAAGCCCTAAACAGTTTAGGACCTTGATACCTGACAGAGCGCCTACTCCCATCTAGCTCTACTTGTGTTACTCGATCTAGCCAGGCTGGGCAGCTGAGGGGCTTTACCCCGAGAGAGGCCCAGAAGGACAGAGCTAGAAACCGGGCCTTTTCGGCGGTGGCCTATCGCCTCTGAAACATCTTGCCCCTTGAGATTGATGCGGAAACTACAAATGGTCCAGAACACAGCTGCCAGACTATTAACCAGGGTGAAAAAATATCATCCCATTTCCCCCACTCTGGCAGCCTTACACTGGTTGCCCAGACTTCAAGGTATTAATGCTTACATATAAAGCCCTAAACAGTTAAGGACCTCAATACCTGACAGAGCACTTGCTCCCATCTAGCTCTATTTGTGTTACTCAATCAAGCCAGGCTGGGCAGCTGAGGGGCTTTACCCCGAGAGAGGCCCAGAAGGACAGAGCTAGAAACCGGGCCTTTTCAGCGGTGGCCTATCGCCTCTGAAACATCTTGCCCCCTGAGATTCGCCTGGCACCCTTGCTGGGAGTTTTCAAGAACAAGCTAAAGACTTGGTTCTTCAAATAGGCTTTCCCCTCTTGTATCACTTAGTTTCCTGTGTTTTACCATCTTGACTTTGCTTATCTCTCTTATCGTTTTGATATTGTTTGTTTTAATTCTTGGTCTTATATTGCTCGGACTGTAAGCCGCCCAGAGTAGATTCGTTTAGAATCTAGATGGGCGGGGTAAAAGCCCAATAAATAGATTGGCATTTTGGAAAAGTTACTATTTTGGACTGTAACCTTAATAGCCATGCTGGCTAAGGGATTTTAGGAATTATAGTCCAAAAAAGTAACTTTTCCATTACCTGATTCTGCAGAATTCATTCAATTTCCTACTAAGAATAAAGTAATTATGCTGCCCTCTCTACATCCCAAACATGGCAGTCTCATTCAGACTGCCTCTAAAATTCCAGTCCCACAGATTACTTCCGCAGTCATTAACAGGTGAAAAAGTGGGACTCAGTCCAACTGCCCCCCAATAGTCACAGCTGCATATCAAGGAGCAGATTAGCACAGGGCTCAGCAATGTCCTCTGAAGTACAAATGCAGTAGCTAGAGTCGAGAGGGACAGCTGGGTGGGTGTAAAGATGCCATGTGGAGGCCCCACACAAGAGCATCAACTGGTGTGCTGGGAAATACACACAAGCAAAAGCCAGCTGGACAGTGGCAGGACTAATGGGGGGGCCCTATGGTTATTCTCTCCTATTAGGAAAGGTAGAGCACTGTAAGTCATGTCCCAAATTTTCGGTGTGTATTTTTTAACACTATAGCTGAGATTCTAAAAACACTGAATTTCTGAACCAGATTCTATATTGCATATATACATGGCACAATTCACTCTGCCCTTTTTGTTTTTGCACCTTGGAAATAAGTTCTTTATAGTTTTATATGATGGCAAGATCTTTTCAAAACTGGAACAGATTGCCTCGGAACATGGTGAATGGGTTACTTCAGAGACATGCAAATTATCCTTCACTGTAGGTTTGCCAACAGAGATCAGATGGGCATTTGTCCGCTATGCTTCAGCTGTGGATTTCCTCAGTGGGCAGGGGAGGGGGAATCAAATGACCCTTCGGATTTCTTCTAACTCTACAGGTCTTCGACTGGTATGATACAACATAAAGGGCTGGATCCTGCATTCCAAAAAGGAGACCTCCACAAACTGGATCCGCAAAGAAGGAAGGACAGGTAATGTTCACATTTTCCTGTACTCTCTGTAGCACCCTCCCTAAAAGCTGCTCTAGAACGTCACATGTTGAATGTTCCTTAGGAAAAACATGGGACATGACAGTAAAGGCTGCAAGGGAGAATGGCAACCACCCAACCACCAGCACCAATACTTGCGTTCTGACTGTGAGAATATTCATTTGCAGGTTTGGATTCAACCACAATCGTTTTTCTCAACTGTTTCTTTTTTGTTTTCGTTTCATATTCTTAATGGTCAATTAAAGGCCTCACCTGTTCCTGCATTTGTACTCCTAACAAGAGCAATGAAACATTCAGCAAAATCCTCTTGGCATAAATCTGTGTGATATAACCAGGCTGGGGCGCCAGAAACATTTTATATAAAGCAATTTAAAGCATCCTATCCCCCACCACACATACACATCCGAGGTTCCCTAAAGCGACCAGGCTGGGGCGCCAGAAACATTTTATACAATGTAATTAAAAGCATCCTATCCCCCCCACACACATCCGAGGTTCCCTAAAGCAGTGGTCCCCAACCTTTTCCAAGCTGTGGACCGGTTGTCGGGACGGGGTCCGTGCACGGGTGGCCAGGGCGTGTGGGGCACATGGGGGGCACACAGCGTGGGGCACGGGTGGCCAGGGCGCACATGAGGTGGGAGGGGCATCTCTGCATGCGTGGGTGTGGGCAAGCGTGGGTGGCATACGTGCAGGAGGGGGCAGGAGATCTGTCTCCATGGCCCAGTCCTGCCAAGGCCATGGCGCGGGGGTTGGGGACCCCTGCCCTAAAGCACCCTTTAGCCCTGGGGTAGCCTTTAAGAGATTTGGGAGGGGGAGATTTTTATAGTAAAAAAGATTACCCCCAGATAGTGCCAGCAATTGCAATCCTGGCAGCAGTAATCCAGGGATGGGTTTTTTTGGGGGGGGGGATTAAATATTTATTTGTTTATTTGTTCATTTAATTGAGCTTATAGACTGCCTGACTTAGCAGAAACACTACTCAGGGCGGTTTACATAATTAGTCAAAACATACAACGAATTAAACTACTAAAAAAGCAAAAAGAATACCACAAATTAAACAGAAATCAAACCAAATTACACGAAACACAAAAAATATAGTATTATAAAAATGATCAATGGCTGTGGTAAAAAATATGGTGCACAGGTCTCATAAACTACACCTTAGATGTTGCCAAGGGCCTCCTTAAAGGCTTCCCATGGCCCCTTCTCTGAGAAGCCTCAGAATATAAAAAGAGGGAGAGACAAAACTTTGGATGACTTTAAATTAAATGCCTAATCCAGGTTATGCTCGGACAAAGTTAGGCAACAAGATTCTGAATATTATCACACAAAGCTGGAGCTGCTCACAGTAATAATCTCACCTGCTGTAAGCAGAGGATTAGTGTCTTTGCACTTTGAATTTTGTCGTTGTGCCTTGATCGGCTCAGGGTTTCTTTAATTATGTCTCCATAGTCACTGTAAGCCTGTTAAATGGCAAGGAGAGAAAAACTCTATCATGGAATAACTGAAGAAAGTAGAAATTTAAAAAGAAAGCTAGAAAGAAATATTAGGCAATTAAAAGAGGCAATTAAGCACTATTTTTTAAAGCTGTTTCTGAGAATGTACTGTTCCAACACTATGTCATGCATAAACTAAGTGTGGCATTTTGTGTGTATGTGCTACATGCTGTCATCTCACCTCCACCTTACGGCAGGCAATCGTATGTGTTAACAACTTCCTTGCTATGGATTGGGGGGGGGGCGTTATTCCCTAGAACTGTCTAGAGGATTTCAGTGTTAGGTTCCTTTTTACAGGGCAATCAGTTTCTCATTGTCTCATTTGGGCAGGGCGCTCACGACCTAACAAGTTTACCTGGACACCAGTGCCGCAGGCTTTCATCTGAACATACTCCTCAACAAGAGAGCTTAGCATCATACCTTATTTGACAGATCAAGGGTGGGCAACTTTTAAAGGTCCAGCGGCCATCTTTGCCCCCAAGACTATCAGGGGTTGCCCCCTCACCATCCCAGGATTTTGAATCTATAAATGGAATCTCTAAATTTGCCATTTCGGGTGCTCAAAACTGGGGATCAGGGAACAAAGAGGGTTAAATAAACGAATGAACGAATAAAGAGATGGCACACACACCCCTTCAGCATTGATAGCTGGATCTGCAGCTGAATCATACATAGGCTGGCCGATGAATGTTCTCCACCAGCTGGGGCAGAGCAGGGGGAACAGGTGTCTAGGACTCTGCCATCCTCCAGCAAAGAGGATACTGCTAGCGAATGTAGGAGGAATAGCCAGGAGGCTGCGACCAATGTCCCACAACATCAGCCACCCAAAGCAGTCACAATTACAATCAAATGGGTGAAATGGCTCATAACCTATAGGTGTTTTGCCAAGGTCCTTCCCTTGCAAACGTGTTAAAGGGACAAATCGTTTAATAAAGCAAATAAATACTTCTCCTGCCTGCAGCAAATTAGTTCCTTTCCATTGTCACAATGTAAACAGGGACAATGTAAGAAGGCCTCTTCAGAAAGAACCATCAACTCCATTCATCTGGAGCCCCCATGACACACACACATCAGGTGGACAGAATCCTAATAAACTTAATGTTCTTGTGAGGGATGGAATATAAACACACCTGGGAAGGTGGGAAAAGCCATGTAGTTTCCTTTTCCAGAATCTAGAAGACATTGTTAATATAAATCTTCTATTATCCTATATTACCTTCATATAATGCTTATAGATTTCAGCAGCTGCTGTCATCTCAACAACATTGCAGATGATTAACTTGCAGTAAGCTGCAAGGAGGCATCGCTTCAAATGCAAAACATCCAATTTCTGACTTTCATTCTTCTTCTCTTCCTCTTCTGTCAAGTCTATAGGAAGAGGTCTGGTTATTCTGACATTGCATTCAAAACTATTTTAAGTGCTAATCTTACTTGTAAGAACTGGGATTCAGTCAGCTGTCTAAATCACAGCAGCCACATGAATTTTATTCATGTTTATTCATTTTTATATGTTAACAAGATTATTCTTCAAGCATCATAAGAGTGCTAATTACTCAATTATTTTACATGGAGTTCCTCCCTGAAAAACAACAACAGGTACAAAGTAACCAAAGAAGAGCAAATGAATACAATAACTTTTTAAAGGGCACTAGGTAGCAAACACTAGAAGCCAATCATCTGATATATGTATGTTACCAGATTTAAAAAACAACAACACTGCTAGTCTGACCTGTAGAAACAAACATGCATTGTTAGAGAATCTCCTACTGTATTACCTTTTCTGCAACATCTGAACTATGAACTGCACTCATTCATAAACTGAAGTTCTTCAAAGCATCTCTACGAACAGCAAAGAGGATTCCAGCAAATGGTAATTTGAAAACACAGCAGATCAATTGGTGAAGCTGGTTGGCTGCCTCTTCTGCACTTTTTGGGGTTGTATGCAGAGGCTGTCAAACCTCTGTCATCCATTTGCTTTTGCACACTGAAGAGCTTTGCAAAGGGATATACAAGAGCACTTATACACCACAAAGCTGTGCTGCCCAATGTGCAGCTCAGGCCTAAGCATACTGGGCTTCAATGGGGGGGTGCTGCTATACAAACTGCAACACAATTCACAAACAACAGGGAGAAATATAGATGTACATCTTGGGCACTACTCTGGGGCAGTATCATTGCAGTATTCCATTTCGACAAGATGACCTGAACATCTGTGCAGGGATGAAGTATTTATCTATTATAATTGATGCAGGGACTGATTCTAAGGGCACACAGGAGACAGCAGATCATACAGAGATGATAAACAAAGAAATTATAAAAAGGTTGCAAAGGAATTCTAATTCTGGAAACTAAAAAGATTAGGCCGTCAAGTTAGGAATGGGGATGTCATGACACATACGTATACTAGGTCCCTTAGAACTAATTATTGTATATGCATGTCCTGCTGGTTCACGGTGATTCACAACCAAGAACATACCTCAAAACGTGTGAAAAACACAAGAGGAAGACTAAGCAGCCTATTAGAGAATCAGACTTTCTTGAACAACTCATTACCTTCTGTTACTTGCCTCTTACATGTCCCAATTGAACACAGTACCAACTAAAGCCTATAAGGTGCCATCATTTTCAAGAAAGCCATTAAGATTCATTTATTTTCCATGACCTTCTGCTATGGTTATGACTGTGATCAATTGTTTTGGCTTTGGTACTTGTGCAACCAGATGTTTCTTTTCTTCTCTCTGGACTTTAATAATTAAGGCATTTACACCTATTTTGTATTTATATTGTAAGTCTTTTTTGTGCACTCAAAGAAGATGGCTTGTAAGTATTTAAAAACAACAACCACCCACACATTCAAACCCAAGTTTATATAAATAATTATCAGTACTGCACTTCTGCCATGCTGAACTTGACTTGAAGCAGTAGGGAAGGATAGTATAAAGCAGACTCAGTAACACTTTTTATGAGATTAGTGTTACTGGCAAAGTTGCACAGGTGTCCAGGTTTCATGTACCTGTGTTTCTTGAAGGAAAGACCTTCTTTAAAAAGAGCCCAATGCAGCTCAATCAAGTGGCTACTTCAAACTTTAAGTTACACAAATGTTCATCAGTATCACAGTTCCTAGGATGGATGTCTGAATACTAAGTGGAAGAAACAACATCAACGAAGAATATTGCTTGCTGAAAATTTTTGCTGACCTTTGGATTCTTCCTCCTCCTCTGTGAAAACATGATCCTGAATAAATATGAGCATTTTGGATTGAAGAGATGTACTGGGAAGGGACTTCAGCAACCCGATAGCATTGTTGTCCACTGAATCTTGATGACTTATAATTATCAGCAAATCACAAAGTATCATAAAAGCCTATAGTAAGAGACAAAAATAACTATGTAGGCATTTTAGAAAGTGCTACCATACGGATAATGATCTGTCTCGTCCTCCTCTGTACTCCATTCACTTACAAAGTGAAGTCCTTTCCATTCTGCTTTCGATTTTCGCAGCTGGTTGACAGAAACTTTCTTGAGAAAAAGAAAGCACTACTTTGGTGCAGTCTATTCTGACAACAGAACAGGGAAGTCACTGCCAGTCCATGATCAGTTCACTGAAAGGCAGAGTCCCGTACCTACACCTTCTTCAAGCTAATTCAGGATTTTTTTTTATCTACCATGCTATGAATGAAAATGGGAGCTGAAAGTAGATTGCCAAAGCTACCTAACAGCCCAAATCCTGTTGCTTAGTGTAGTAAATCACACTAGAGTAGGCCCATTCAATCAATGTGGATTTGGTTAGTCAGCTCTCCTGCAAATTCCATGGATTCAATGGGCATATTCTAGTATATAATTCATTTGGGGCCAATGAATTAGCGGCAGAAACAATTTGAAATGAGGACCTTCTGGTTCATCTTTTGACCTTTTTAGATACTGCACTATACCAGGAATTGTACACTGTGTTGCTAAGGAGATTCTATTAATGCCTTATTTTCCCCAAAGATTTCAAAGTCTTTGTTTAGTGAAGACAAATCCTCATCCATAAGGACTCCATCTCTCTTGCAAGGAAACCTACCCACTGTACTACAGTGGCTCTATTCCTATCTTCAGAACTGGTTCCAAAGAGTGGCATTAGGGGGCTTTTACTCAGCCCACGACAATTAAGCTATGGGGTACCACTGGGTTCCATCCCATCTCCTATATACAGTATACGAAGCTGTTAGGAAAGGTCATTAGGAGTTCTGGGGTTGGGTCCCATCAATATGCTGATGACACTCAGCTCTATTTCTCCTCATCACTGGGTTTAGCTAAGGCTGTGTAGGTGTTAGATCAATGGGATAACCTGGCCACATTAATCCATGGCCTGACAACTTCCTGGCTATACTACTGAAGTGCACTCTACATGGGGCTACCCCTGAACATGAAACGGATTCTGTAGCAATTGGCATATACAGCAGCTGGACTCCAAAGAAAAACACCTGAAGGATTTGCACTGGCTGCCAATACACTTCCAGTCCGAATTCAAGGTGTTGCCGAAAACACCTGAAGGATTTGCACTGGCTGCCAACACATTTCCAGTCCGAGTTCAAGGTGTTGCTGATAATTTATAAAGCCCTAAACAGATTGGGACCTGGATATCCAAAGGCCTTTTCTCCCTTCCTGATCACTAAGATCTGCTAGGGTGGCTCTCCGCTGTGTCCTGCCATTGAGGACTTTTTTTATTAGAGTCTTTTGAGGGTTAAGGATTATGGCCTCCGCAAGTTTTCTCGTCCCTCAGCCTGCATGACCAATGGTTGGGCAGAACCAATCAAAAGAATGAGTCACCCTACCAACAGAAGTACTTTATATACAAATCCCAGAACAAATGTTTTTCGAACCCTGGACTCAATTAGCTCAGCCTCTTGGCACATATATGCAAATCTTAACTGCATTTTCTATTTTATCTAACAACCTGTTACGCTTTTATTTTTTTTAATGTTTGAGTGTTTCAATTTTTTTTTCTATTTTTACGTTGTTTTAAATATCCTATGTTTTAAAATTGCTTTATACACTTTTGTAAACTGCCCTGAGTTCCTATGATGTAGAGCTGACTATAAATGTTTGAACAGACAAACAAACTTACCCATTCTTGTCATTAAGATAGATCAGAATAAACATCTAACGAAAAAACTCAAATTAAACTCATTGAGGGATTCTCACCTTTTCACGTAACTCCCTGTTGTCATGGCTCAGGCAGCATGTGCAAATGTGGCAGAAGTGCCTCAAATTTGTTCTCAGAACATGAATGTCTTTCTAAATTAAAAATAATAATAATAATTTGTGTAAGAGTCTCTTTTTGAGGTATTATTCTGCTTGGTAAGATTATTCAAACAATTGGTTCTCAAAAGCAAGAGGCTGCACTCTGTAGATAGAGATAGTTTAGGAACAGCACAATATTCTTCCCAAGACTCCTTGGCATGTGTTGACTAGATCACAAAGCTGAGCTTCAGCCATTCTGTCAGGGACAGGAAACAACAGTCCAGGCCTTATAATTTGTTGGCACCTCAGTTACAAGCAAAAATGACTGCCAGGTAGGTCTGTCTTGTAGCACAATGGTTAAATTGTAGTACCGCAGCCAAAACTCTGCTCATCACCAGAGCATGACTGAGTGAACCTCAAGCTGGCTATCAATCCCCAATGGCCAGCTTGAGGTTCACTCAGCTTTCCATTCTTCTAAGGTCAGTAAATTGAGTACCCAGCTTCACCCAAGGTTACAAACCCCACTCAAAGCTTCATGCTTGGAACAGTCAATGAATGCCTGACTTGCACGTTACATCAGAACACAAGTCATTCTTGGTCATCTTAGTCAAAATTTGCTCATAACTCAAAATATAACTCAGAATGTTTTTTAAAAAATCAAAAAGCAGCTTACAACCAATGCTCTGGGCCTAACCTTGGATGATGGGCATTCTACCACAGAGGTGAGCTGCCAGAGCAATGCAAAATAAGCACACTGTAAAGCAGGCAAAATGATCTGCAAAATAAAAGCAGGAGTCAGTGTCTTGATGCCAAAAACTTAATACAATCACCTCTCCATAGAACATTTTCCTCAATAAAGAAAAATTATTCAACTTCTGAATAAAGTATCGTATTTTTCTGTGTATACAACCCTCTAATTTTGTCCCTTGCCAGAGGCGGAGGAGCAGTCAATGGGCAGCCGTGAGGGGCAGCTCTGCCTCCGTCTCCTGCTGCCTCTGCTGCCCGACCACATCGCCGTGTAGTCCCCCACTCAAAGGGAGCCTGGGAGTGGCGCTGGTGGACGCCAGCAGCAGCAGGAGGAGGAGGAGACGGAGGCAAAGGAGCAGCTGCGCTCGGCCGCCTCCCACTGCTGCCCATTGACTGCTGCCTCCGCCACCAGATTGCTTCCTCTAGCGCTACCCGCAGGCTCCCTTTGGGCAGGGGAGAAGGTGGCAACATGAGCTGGAGGTGAGCCCTGGCAGGAGGAGGCGGCGATTTGGTGCCGGCAGCAGCAGCCAATGGGCAGCCGCGAGAGGCGGCCAAGCGTGGCTGCTCCTTTGCCTCTGCCTCCTTCCCTGTACAAAACGACCCTCCATTTTTCCTCTAATTATTTTAGGAAAAAGTGTTGTTTTATACACGGAAAAATGCGGTAGCTTTATTCAGTGATACATTCAATACATACACACTGCCGCCTTCAGTATCGGCATACTTCTCCATACAAATTGCTGAGGACTGTGAGTGGGAGGCTGCTACTGGATTCCCAGCAGCTGCTTCTGGACTTCCTATAAGCATTTAGCTGGCCACTACTGGAATAGAGCACCTGTCCAGATCGGCCTTTGGTGGGAAAAAGTGTAGGCATGGAGATGAAAAGTGAAGCAATAAGGCAGTAAACTTTGTTTAAGGCTCTTAGGAAATGGCAAACAAACTACTAAAACTACATAACAAAACATAACAAAACAGTAAAAGCAAGTAGGGTGATGGCAGCTCAGGCAATGCCCACACAAAGCACACACAGTCTCTGCCTCACTGTCAGTCTGCCTTGGTGTGTATATCTGTGTGTCAGGCAAGAGCAATTGATCCTTTTTGTAGAGCCTTATCGGGAAGAGACACAGAACTCATTGGCTCTAAAACAGGTCATATTTCCAGGTGAGGTCTGTTTTAGTTAAGATGAACACATTAACCGCACAATGACTGGCATGTAGCTCTTGCCATACCCCAAGAGGGTCTCACTCAAAAAAATTCTTATTATGCTCTTAAAATGTGGCCTCTATCACTGAATTATGAATTTCTTTCAGTCAAAGCATCAGATGAAATTAGCAAGAGGGAAAATGGAAAGGATTCTGTTGTGTCATTATCATCTAACAGGCTGCTGAAATGAAGACCTAATTTACATAGTATGACGTTTAGGAAAGCTGAAATAATCTATGGTATATAGTGAAATATATATATATATGGTATATTAGTTACCTGAAGTGGCAAAGAGCTGTGTTCCATTTCAAAAGCAAGCACGTTGGACATTTTGTCATAGAGATTCCACTTAGTGAGGTCATGGGCACTACAAAGCCAAAAGGAAATGAAGAATCAGTCTGAGTATTCTGAAGTAGGCTTGACAAAAGAGATTCCACAAAAATAATTAAGACAACCATGCCCTTTTCTTTGTCGTTTAATTTTATCCACCATCACCCAAAAATAGCTCACAGTGAATATTTACCATGGAACACAGTTTAACTAAATGCTATTTTTAATTATAATACGGTTCTTCAACAACAGGTGCAAAGTGGCCTCTCTTAAGCCAGCTTCAACTTTCTTAAAGCTGGCACCCCTCATATGTGCTTGCTGAGGATGATGAGAGTTGTGGATGCCACCAGGCTGGGAAGACTGCACTAGCGAAGAACAGCATTAATTTAAACACCTTTGATAGAGTATCTGTTAAACCCTCACCCAACGCTTTTTTTTCTTTTTTTTTAGTTCTCATAAATCTGCACCATCACTCGAAAGAATTAATCACTAATTTTATGACAGGTGCTAGAATATTAATAGCTAGATTTTGGAAAGACAAGAATGATATTAAAATTGAAGACTGGTATTGTGAAGTATGGGACATTGCATTAAATGATAAATTGATTATGGAACTTAAAATAAAAAGAGGGGAAATAAGTTGTAACAATTTCTATGATATTTGGGGTAAATTTGTGGAATCTGTGTTAGTGAAAGGAAGGGGGAAAGCCTCTAAAGAATACTCAATACAATTTTGGAGAGGTAATCTGTAAGAAAAAAATTATTATAGTAAGTAGAGTCCCGTGGGTATGGGGTGCACATTAGAATTTAGTTCATAATAAGCACTATTATTTGTATTTTTTTTGTATTTTTGTTGTTATGTATGTGTTCTTTTGTGTATTTTTTTGTATAAAATAAAAATTTAAAAAAAATTGTATTTCAAGCCTAGTTTTGTGTACCACAGTTGGCAATTCAGGAGGCAAATCCCAACCATAGCCATGTAATCATAAAATGCCAAAGGGAGTGCAACAGGTGCATGTCACTTATCATCTGGCCCCTAAACTGTGTGTAGGTGCAAAGTTGCTGAGACTCTGCATTTTAAGCCAGTCCTATAATACATTAACCAGTTACACACACACACACTTTGGTTTTGTCATAAAAGCAATAGCAATCTTATCAGTCCTGGCTGTTAAAAATGTCACAAAGGGAAGTTGATAACCAAGAAGATAAACAAGCATCTCACTTGTGAAGAGCAGCAATTCTTTCCAGAGCAGAGGATAAGTGCTGAATCACTTTGTCATCTACACAAAGCTCTTCTCTCTAAGTCATGTCAAGAAGAGACAAGAGAACATCAGATATCTGTGAGTATTATACAAGACACTGCAACTTTTCTGAGCTATACAGAAATAATGTACTGTCTAAAATAGGGTCACAGGCTCTTCCTCCCCACCCTGCGCCCATGTCCGTCCCATTTTCTCCCCAGGACAGTGGTTTCTAACCTTCGGTCCACAGATGCTCTTGGACTACAACTCCCAGAAATCCTGGCTATTACAGCTAATGGCGAAGGCTTCTGGGAGTTTCAGTTCAAGAACAATTGGGGGCCCAAGACTGGGAACCACTGCTCTAGAGTTTAGTGTGTTTATGTTTTGGGACCACGAGTCCCAGAATCCCAATTCCAGGAGTTGTTGACCACAAAGTAATCGCTCCAAGTTGTGATTTTTTTTCCTGATTTCTAACATTATTTCAATTTTTAATAAATTCCCTGCAAAGTAAATCATATTCTAAAAACCTTAATACTGCAAATTAAGAAGATACACACATGCACACCATTTTCTATATTATATAATGAAGGTGTAGAAAACAAGATGGATAATGGTAAACTCTCTCTGAACTAATTTAAGAAACTGACCAATTAAGAGTTTCTTACTCTCCAGCACCAAAATAAGTATAGAATGGGACAATTTATGCTCTCATGTTTACTGTTCTTCATCTCTTCATCTCAAGCATTCACCTATCAGTATGAACTCTTGCATGGTGGAATGACATCTGTTAGCAATGGCACAGTTGATTAACTGTTGTTGAACTGAGTCTGCAGGCTATTCATATTTCCAACAGCTGCTCCTGTATTCTTAGTACCAATGAAAACCTTTTCAAATATTTCTACATCCCTCCTCCCTGCACACGTACAAGTGGAATGGGAAAAGCCACTTTTTGAGATTTAAAAACTTTGCAAGGTGTTCAGCAGTCTTCAGGTACAGGCAAAACTCTAAAGCTATGGGGGAAGACTATAAAGTCCCGCAGTGGCCAATAATGAAAAAGTTTGGTTTGATCTTCAAATTACTCAGTATTTAAAATTAACTTTCCGATTATATCTCAGATAAAATGCTGTCAAATAGAACAGGCATCCATTTAGAATGCAGAGTTTAAAATAGTCTAGCAGCGGAGTATCAGTCCTTGGAGAGTACAAGAGCATTCAGTGTCCAAAAATGATATCCTGCATCTCATCAAGAGCCACTTCTTTTTTATTGACAACTATTTTTCTGCCTCAAATGGAGCATAGTCCCATGCTCCGAAATACTCAGGAAGACGACTGTTTAACAGCAGGGCTTTTTAAACAAACAAACAAAAAAGTGTAAATATAAACCAAGACATTGTAAATTCTGGAATATTTAGCACATGATAAGCACATACCAACATTCCTCAAAGCTAGAGTTCCCAAAGGGCTACACAGAGGTGCTGTCTATAACTTTAAAAGTTCAGTGTTAGCAGGCAAAGATAAAGGCTTGTTCCTTCACAGCCACTTCTGCCCGTCCATCAGCCATGACCAGGACTCCAGATTTTCTCCAAAGCTGGCAAGGAGGGACTAAAAGCACTTACTCTTCCACTAGTCATATCAACTAAAAGGAGAGGAAAACTCCCTGGGTTGTGTTCTGGCAAGCCATGACTATTTCAATACTAGAAATAAGAACATGATCTACTATTACAGTGGTGCCTCGCATAGCAATCGCTCCACTGAGCGACGAAATCACTTAGCGACGGAGTTTTTGCGATCGCAAAAGTGATTGCTTTGCGATGGTCCTTATGAGGTTTTTTCGCTTAGCAAAGTGCCCCTTTTTTAACAGCTGATTGGCGGTTTCAAAATGGCTGCCGGGAAAACAAAATGGCCGCCCGCTGTTTTTCCTCGCTTAAGAGGCAGCAAAAATGGCGGCACTATGGAGGATTTTCACTTAAAGTTGAGTTTTAAGCCCATAGGAACGCATTAATCGCGTTTTAATGCGTTTCTATAGGCTTTTTAATTTTGGTTAGCTATGTTTTCGCTTAGCAAAGTTTTTTCCGGAACGGATTAACGTCGCTAAGCAAGGCACCACTGTATATACCTTAATATAATAATAACTGTGTGCCATCAAGTCAATTTTGACTTATGTGACCCCTATCAGGATTTTCCAGGTAGAGAGTACTCAGAAGTGGTTTCTTATTCCCTTGTTCTGGAGACACCATGGGAATGCAGAGCCTTTCAGGCTGGCTCTTCTGGGATGTATTATGGAGAACCAACTGCCCAGCCTCTGACTCCGCAGCGAGATACCTAACTCACTGAGTTATTCAGCCATATATGTTAATAGAAGTGGCTTTTCAGATTAGAAATTTATTGCATGTGAAGCAGCCAGCTGTTTACATTTCCACCCTGTAGAACCACTGAGAAGGACAGCACATATTTAAAATCTGACACCCCCCATAAACACTTTTATTAACATTTTGCTTCAGAAACTTGGAAAAGTTACTCTGGTGGCATGTAACTCCCAGAATCACTCAGCCAGCATGGCTGCAGAATATGGTAGCTCAGAGATCCAGGCAGCTGTAGTCCAAAAAAGTGTAATTTTTGGAAAATGCGATACAAATCCATCTTGTGTTTCCCACTGTGTCCAGATCCCACACTTACCTTATTCCAAAAGGTATCCAAGAGTTGGTTTAGCTGGTCCACCAGGTCATCCACAAGTTCAGCTCTAGCAAAAGTCACTTTGTTGTGGAAAACAAGCACTTCATTGCCAAGGACGTAGTATATCCTGGAGCAAGCTTCCAGAACATCTGTGTCAGAATGTCTGATTACAATGGCTTTGACCTCCCTCAGTAGCACATCCAAGTGCTGCAATGAAGGCAAAGGTACCATGAATGACAGGAGGCCTGTTATGGCCCCAATTCTGGGTTCTAATAAGCAGCAAGAATTACATCCCAGAGAAAGAGCAGTACAGTTTGATCACTGGGGAGATGTCATCCATGCAGAACCCATAATTTCCCATGTCCACCCAAGCTAAGTTATCTGTCTTTAGGATGGCTATAAGGTAAACAAGTTTCTGTGATTTACAGCCTTTCCAACTCCCACTAGCATCAATGTGTCCTAGATGTCAGCTCAACATTTGGGCCTCTGTTTCAAAATAACAAGGAATCTACCTGGAGCCACTGGTTCCAGCACACAGAGGTGCAAGCACACAACCCAGGATCTACCCATTTTTTGCATGACTTAACGATCAGAAGAGCTATAAATTCCACTCATTAAAATGAATGAATGGAAGATGAAAGAGAAGCTTTGCACTGCAGGAGATGGGACTGAATTTCCATCAAAGCTTCTGTTTCATCCTCATCTATCTCTCTCAGTCCCATGCAAACATAAATGCACATGTGCATGCCCACAAACACATACACATTCACCTTTTCCAAGATCCCTGTACTGTACATCTCTAGATCAAAATAGTGTGGAATCTGCAGGAGGCTTGTAACTTTTTCTGCATGCCCTGAATACTGCAAGGGAAAAACAGGACATAAAGTTGTGGTTGCAATCCGAATAAATTATTTAATACACATTCACAACAGCAGCTGCCACTTACTTTTGCCAAGAGCCGAGGAAGCACCACAACAAAGTGCTCAGTAATTTTAGCACAATCTTCCATTTGTATCTTCTTCTCTTTGGAAGACAGGACCTACAGAGACAAAGTAGTTTCTAGCAACTGCAGCACAATCATGGTGTTCAATATTTCAACTGGATGCAGGCTTAAAACTTAGAACAACAAAAAGCCTCAAAGCATATTGATGAATGTCTCAAACTGCTTAAATGCCATGATCAAAAGGTTTTTTACAGGGCTACTTAAGCACGGCTGTTAATTGGAAAGAAAATATGTCATTTTGTGACATTTTCCTCCCCTCCCCACCCCAGCAGTAGCCCCACTGTGCCTCCTGCAAAGTAGAGTCAGCCTGTGAGGATTTGGGCAAGTCCCAGGGCACCCCCAGAAAAAGGAAAATGTAAGCCACTTCTGAGTATTCTCTACCCGCAAAATCCTGAAAAAGCTCACCGGAAGTCAGAATTGACTTGACAGCACATGACTGATTATTAGCCTTTTTTGAGCAAAGGGGTATACAGTACAGATAAAGAAACATCTGAGCTTAATAGCTGTATCAGTATCGTCTGCAAGAATTCAGTACATCTAGGCTCTGTGAAGAAGCTACACAGGTTTCTTCACTCTTCTGATATTCACAAGCTGGTACACTTTAAAATCAGGGACAAATAACTAGCATCTGACTACAGCCGGTGTAGCTTAGTGGATGGAGTGTCAGACTGGAACTCTGAGTCCAAATCCCCACTCAGCCCTAAAATCTCACTTGAGAGTTGCCCTGATAGATTCCCACTTTTAAATGTCTCATACATCTCAGAAACCCTAATAGGATCATCATAAGTCAGAATCGACTTCATGGCACAAAACACACAATTAGTGAAATAAAACTGTGGCACTGAATCACTAGTTAACTTTAAAACCTAGGAAGACTAGAGAGCGCAGTACAATCATGATTTGCAATCCTGTTTGGGATGTTAGTTCAAACTAGTCTGGCACTCTCAGATATAATGAGAAACTTTGGTTGATTAGGAGTTATTCCATTAAAACACATACGCAGTGGAGAAAAAAGAAGAAAACATGCAACATAGAACTCATTTCAGATTACCCAAAAAGTAGTTTAGAGAACTGAAAACACGAGAGCTGGACACAATCAATATTATCTGCTTCACAAATGTGATCTCAGTAACAGCTGGGTTTTTTCTCTCTAAACAATGAAAATTGATCTTAGCTTCTTTTTTCAAAACTTGAGAGCTCACACTTCATTGTCCACAGTTCTTAAAAAAGAATTGATGTAATATGCAAGTGTATGTAAATGTGAGTACCGAAGTAGAGGACTCTAATTAACAGATTTATTTTGCAAATAAAAGGTAGCAATTGAGCTCTTGTTCTGCAGCCTGGTTTTAATTATAATTGTTCAGAAGATTTTATGAGGATCTGCAGCAATTTTGCGCATTATGATCTGTATGCAGAAGCCAACTCTTGAGCACTCTTTTTATGCACATCTTCCCAATGAAAAGATGTATGCACTAGAAACTGACATATAGCCAATCCTCTACACTGGAGATGGCACAAGTTGCCTTACTTGATGAGACAGCCTTCAGGTGAAGCATATTCAAGAATGAGGGTTTTCTCCATATTTTATGAGGATTGGTTGGAGGGAAGGAGGAAATGGAGCGGATCTAAAACTGCACAAACTGGACACTAAGATGCTGTGGCAGCCCCATTCAAAAGTGTCCTTCATTGCATTGGTTGTTGGGATGCTATGGTTGTCTGGCAATCACAGTTCTATTTTTTTTCACTGCAGCAGAAGTGACCTGTGCCAGCAATGTGCACAGAAAATCAGGACTACCAATACATCATAATAAAACTCCACTGACTTTTCTGGTCCCTCCTCTGCCCACAGGGGGATGACCATCAACAGCTTCTCGAATGGTTGCCAAGATTATCTCAACGAGGGCACTCTCTTCAGCTTTGGTCAGTGCTGCAAACAAAACAGGACAGCTCTGTTCACACCCTCATAGAAAGTGGAGACATCACGGTTGTTAGCACAGCTACTTTACATTCATTTCTCCAAAGAGTCATTAAGACATCTAGAAAAGGAAGGAACCCTGGTACTCTTAATAGAATTTTTTTTTAAAGAAATTTATTTATTTATTTATTTAATAGAATAACCTGTGCTGAATACCATTCTTGGGAGAAAGGTAGAATATAAATAAAATAAATGAATGCATTTTCTCCACAAAAAGCTGTCACTTATTTTGTGGAAGTAACTACTACAGAATATGAAGAGCAAAGACCTAAAGTCACAGACAGACACACTCAGTGGCTGGCTGATTCAGGGAGTCACAGTCCTAAGAAATACCTTTTC